TGTGGTGACGTTTGATAGATTCGGACCAATACCACACTTCATTAAGCTTGTCATATTTAGCAGGTATTGCGGTTACATTTAGTGCCGTTACATTTAGTTAACAGGTTACATTTAGAATTTAGCTTTAGTGTTATGAGGACAGTTAAAAGACTGTTTAAGAGGCATATGTGGTACATCATCAAATATATTTTATAATGTATGAAGAATCCACTTCTTATGTTTTAGTATGAGCTTCTTTAAAGAGCTTTTCATGTACCACTGGTGACCTATCACACTGTTGCAACCTTCCTATGCAATTTCCTATCCATGCTCAACTTACACAAAGTGTAGTTACACCACAATAAGCTAACAATTTTAGCTTCTTACTTTCTTCAGCGATCAAGTTGTAGTGTACACGATTGAGTGTCAACATTGCTGTATAAAAACACAGTAAACATGTGTATAACTTAGTTTAACAGTTCTGTACATGGATCCCCATGAGTTTCAATAGACCGGTCTTCGCTCCTTTCCGAAAAGAAATTACAAATGAAAATAACTCCTCCTAACTGCTGCAAGGTTTGAGGCTGCTTCTCTGTAATCCAGTTTCTAACTGGTGGAGGGGTGCATGAAAGAGAGCGAGAGAAGGGACAGATAACTAATCACTTAGAAATAAAGTCAAATTTTACAAACCGTTCTTTGTGCAATGTCAAGACTCTAGACCTCTGCCTGTTCCTTACTAAAATACATATCCTTTATGTCTTTTTAAGTCTAAAACTAACAATGATGAGGCATTTTGTTATCTTACTCATTCCTTTGGTTCCCAGGACTGGTTCTTTTGAGAAATAAAATTAACAGACTATAAATAATAATCTGAAGTTGTCTCAAACGGCCCTCCAACTTTTGCTTTATGCCCGTGTAGTCACTAGAGGGTGGAAGAACGTCATTTCTCACAGAGAAGGGAGCCTGCTCTTACACGCTTCCTGTGTGAAATGGAGAGTACACCGAGGGTAGGCTTCAGAAGTTCCTGCAGATGGAGAGAATCAACGAAGGTGACGGGCATGAGGTTGACGCTCCATACATATTGGCTCATGGAATTGTAACGTTGCATTTATATTTGTAACAGTGTAATTGTACCGTGAGATGTTACGTGATTTTTTTAGGCACATTGTTTAGGTGGGGTGACCAAACCTGGTAAGCAGACAGTAATAGGAACTTTACACCCATTTCCTTCTCTTAGGATCGTTATGCAAATAAAATGTGATTTTATGTCAAGGGTCCTCAAGCAGTTTTGTGTAGCCTGATGATCACCGGTATTTGGTGATTGGTTTAGAAGGCACTTTGGTGGTGAAGTGGTTTAAGCATTGCCCTGCAACCTCAACCTAAGGTCTGCCTCAGAGATGGTTTCCAATCTCAGAAACCCCAAGAAGCAGCTCCACTTCATCCAGTGGGGTTTTGATTGATTTTGGTGAAGCTATTTGTCACTATGTGTTTCGGTAAATACAAAACGAAGCAGGTTTAATGCCCGGATTGTAGTCCCTGTCGCTCTGTGTTAAGTTTGCTGACTGTGGAGGCCAAAGTGTTTTTGATAACGAATAGTTTCACATCATTTCTGAACCGGTGTTTCTCGTTGTTGTCCGCTTGAATATAACTGGATTTCCCTGCAGGGTTATTTCTCTTGCGGTTCCTAAGACATACTGGCAGAGTGGAGAGGTCATTTACCTACAGGTTTTGTTTGTTTGTTAGTTTGTGTTTTTAAGTCTTCTGCATAATAGTAAATGTCATCTGATCAACTAGACTTTTGATTAGATTGTAATCTCCACAATTTATCCAAGTTTTAACAACTGGTTAGCTGGTTAACCAGCCACAGTAAAGCTTTTCAGTACCGAATGGTGTCAGGAGTATGAGAGTATTTTTTGAGCAGGGACTTTTAATTGTGGAGGAAATTCAATTTTTCGTCCTTCCCTCAGTGATATATTAGTCTGTTTTTCTTCATTTGTTCAGGAATGACTCATCTTTTCCTATTATTTTGAATATTAAGATACACTGAATACTCAGATGTGATCTGCATAAGTAAGCTGTTATTTTTTTAAATATCTCCAATGAGAAAACTAAACCTGAATAATATTGTCCAGGAATGGATTAAATATTTTCAGAATATTCTGAATATTTCCAGTAGGCAAAACCTGCTTTTTCACCTCTTGGAATGACAACATCCTGGTGTTTTGATGTAACTAAGAGAGGAAAGTGCATCTAGGGATAGAACAGTATTCCTGTGTCCTCTATGGGGGACTATGAGGAAATGAGATAGCCCAACCTCATCATCGGTTTTTTTAAGTTTCTAAACATTTTTCTTCTCAAATGTGCCTGCTTTGTAACTTGACGTCTTGCACCCCAATCCTTTGAATGTAGTCCCCAAGTGTGTTATAAATATATCATTAACAAGGCAATTTCTTTCTCTTTCCTTTTGCCATTTTCTACTACTCAATGGACACGATCCTTAGCGTTGGACAAATCGGAAGAGGTTAAGTGGCAGCAAGGTAAGAAACATCTTGTTATTCCTGTAGAT